TTTCGCTTCTTCAAGAACAGCGTGCACTCCCATCACCTCATCGTCATCATCTTCAGCATCAACAACTCAACTCACAAAAATACACCTTACAGCAAGGGGGATAAAAGCGAGTAGCATAGATCCCCCCCACATCATCATCAACAGTCAACAGTCTACTTCTTTCTTGAAAATTTTTTTTACCGAGATAACTGTATTAAAACTTAATGTCTTACTTAGACCGAAGAAGACATTAATTAACCATATTTGTGTAAATGAAAGTTTTAAAAATGTTGTTTCGATGATAAAAAAATCGATGTGAATGACAAAATATCTTTTTGCTGACAGTTAATAAAATTCATATCGTGCGTGCATAAATTTTTTTTAAAAACATTGTGTTTTCTGTAGGATTCATTGTGTGAAAATTCTCCAAACTATATTCTGTACATTCATTGTGTGAAAATTCTCCAAACTATATTTCTGTACATTCATTGTGTGAAAATTCTCCATGGGTAAAGGAAATATTATTATATAAAGGCAATATCTATCTATGTAGCAACACTAGCACCAAATAGTCTCTGTGCAATGTGCATGGTTGCAACGAAGTTCTAACAGAAAATTATTTTCATACATGGAAATTTAATGTTTGTGTTGATGAGTTTCCAATTGTAGTTCATAATTATTTTTCGTTATTATAAAACATTTTACTTCTGTTCTAAAAATTGAAGGAAAAAAAAGAAGTAGTTTCATTTCATTGCTTTGTGTTCATAATTTGATAATAATTTATTTAGGCAGGCATTGTGATAAATTAATCAAGGAAAAAAGTTTAATTTGGTACAAGTAACACTTTAAACGAACTTTTCATTCAGCACATTATTAAACAGTTATAAGAAGATTAAAATTACTGACTACCGCAGATAATTCAGCTGTGTGTCACTTTCATAAAACATATATGATAAAACATATATTTATACACAAGAAATTTAAATTGTGATTTTCTTGTTCACGCTGAGATAATGTTTTCTGTATTCAATTTGTGCAATTTAATACTCGTAAATAGAATTAAACTTTGTTGACTTTCTCGTATTTATGTTAATGAATAAGAGCTTGCTTTTCTTGTGCATGATAGAACATTGATATAAAAATTTGATATGAAAGTTTTTTTTATATTATTATAGATAATTTCAATCCTTTTAAGTCGGTGAAAGTGAAATTTTTTTTTGATGCCTTTCTTCGTTTATAATGAACTATATTACTGCAGTGTCTTAGTTAATGAAATCAAATTTGATAATTTCATGTTCATAATTGTTATTATCTTGTTAATATCACAAAGTAAAATAATTTAATTTAGTTTTGCATCTTGGTATGTTCAACAAAAGAGAAATATTAAAGTTGGTTGTGAAAAAGAAAAAATTTTAACATCTCAATATAATTTAAATTAATGCTTTCACAGATGCACTTATTAATAAGTCATATTTCTTCAGTATTATATTTTACTTAATTAAAAATTTAGTCAAAGTAAGTTACTTAATACAGCATGTTCTTTTTTGTATTGTATGTTATTAAAGGCCTAACTTAATTCAGAATAAGTATCATCCTGTAAGTAAACCTTATTCTTGTTATTGTAACAAGAGGTTTTCAGGAAAATGTCCGACTCATACTGGTGAGAAGCCTTTTTCTTTTAGTATATGTAAGAAGATATTCTTAATGAAGGATAATTAAAAAAAACTTTGTTTGTTTACTGGGGAAAAACCTTATTCTTGTACTATATGTAAAAAGAGTTTTTTCGGAGAAGAGTAATATGACTAAACATTGTCATGCTGATACTGGTGAGAAACTTTATTCTTGTAGTAGATGTAATAAGAGTTTTTCACTAAAAGGTAGTCTGAAAAGACACAGTCGTATTCATACTGGTGAGAAACCTTATTCTTGTAGTATATGTAATAAGAGCTTTTCACTTAAAAGTAATCTGACCAGTCACAGTCGTGTTCATACTGGTGAGAGGCAGAAGCCTTATTCTTGTAGTATATGTAATAAGAGTTTTTCACTAAAAAGTAATCTGAAAGAACACCATTATATTCATACTGGTGAGAAGCCTTATTCTTGTAGTATATGTAATAAGAGTTTTACACAAAAAGGTAATCTGACACAACACAGTCTTGTTCATACTGGTGAGAAGCCTTATTCTTGTAGTATATGTAATAAAAAATTTTCACTGAAATATAGTCTGACCAGTCACAGTCGTGTTCATACAGGTGAGAAACCTTATTCTTGCAGTATATGTAATAAGAGTTTTTCACTAAAAAGTCATCTCACTAGACACGGTCTTGTTCATACTGGTGAGAAGCTTTTTTCTTGTAGTAAATGTAATAAGAATTTTTCGCTAAAAAGTAGTCTGAAAAAACACAATCGTGTTCATACTGGTGAGAAGCCTTATTCTTGTAGTATTTGTAATAAGAGTTTTTCACAAAAAAGTAGTCTGAAAAAACACTGTCTTGTTCATACTGGTGAGAAGCCTTATTCTTGTAGTATATGTAATCAAAAATTTTCACTAAAAACAAATCTGACCAGACACAGTCGTGTTCATACTGTGAACTACAAGAAACCTTTTTCTTGTAGTATATGTAATAAAAATTTTTCGGAAAGAGTATTTCTGAATGTACACAGTCGTGTGCATACTGGGGAGAAACCTTATTCTTGTACTATATGTAATAAGAGTTTTTCACTTAAAGGTAGTCTGAAAAGACACAGCAGTGTTCACACTGGTGAGAAGCCTTATTCTTGCAGTTTATGTAATAAAAGTTTTTCATTAAAAAGTAATCTGAAAAAACACTGTCTTGTTCATACAGATGAGAAGCCTTATTCTTGCAGTTTTTGTCATAAGAGTTTTTCACAAAAACTGATTCTGAATCAACACAGCCATGTTCATACTGGTGAGAAGCCATATTCTTGTAGTATCTGTAATAAAAAATTTTCACTGAAAAATTATCTGACCAGTCACAGTCTTGTTCATACTGGTGAGAAACCATATTCTTGCAGTATATGTAATAAGAGTTTTTCACGAAAAAGTAATCTCACTAGACACGGTCTTGTTCATACTGGTGAGAAGCTTTTTTCTTGTAGTAAATGTAATAAGAATTTTTCACTGAAAGGTAGTCTGAAAAAACACAATCGTGTTCATACTAGTGATAAGCCTTATTCTTGTAGTATTTGTAATAAGAGTTTTTCACAAAAAAGTAGTCTGAAAAAACACTGTCTTGTTCATACTGGTGAGAAGCCTTATTCTTGTAGTATATGTAATCAAAAATTTTCACAAAAAAATAATCTGACCAGACACAGTCGTGTTCATACTGTGAACTACAAGAAACCTTTTTCTTGTAGTATATGTAATAAAAAATTTTCAGAAAGAGTATTTCTGAATGTACACAGTCGTGTGCATACTGGGGAGAAACCTTATTCTTGTACTATATGTAATAAGAGTTTTTCACTTAAAGGTAGTCTGAAAAGGCACAGCCGTGTTCACACCGGTGAGAAGCCTTATTCTTGCAGTTTATGTAATATAAGTGTTTCATTTAAAAGTAATCTGAAAAAACACTCTTGTTCATACTGATGAGAAGCCTTATTCTTGCAGTTGATGTCAATAGAGTTTTTCACAAAAACTGATTCTGAATCGACACAGTCGTGTTCACACTGGAGAGAAACCTTATTCTCGTAGTTTATGTAATAAGAGTTATTTACAAAAAAGTCATCTCACTAGACACGGTTGTGTTCATACTGGTGAGAAGCCTTATTTTTAGTTGGTTTATGAAACATGTAAAGTATTATAGATTGCTTCATAAAATCAATTTCTTGTTTTTCAAGACAAGTCATTTAAATATTTACTGATCATAAATTTTTTTAATTGCATTTGAACGTTTTTGAGACTATTTTCAACCAAAAATTAGAAGAACGCTCAAGATTACTCACACTCTTACAAAATAATTGTAATTAGTAAATCATAAGTTTTTTTTTAAATTCCAAAAACTATTTAACTAAATAATTAAATTTAATAAGGAAATATGCAAAGGATTTTAATTTGTTATTTTGAAATAGCTGTCCAGTTCATTAAAAAAATTTTTTGTCATGATATCTTAATGTATAAGTGTCTGATATTAATAAGTAGTTCTTTTCTTATAATGGTTCAGCACCTTTTCAATATCTTGTTATAAATATTTCTATTTTTCTATAAACAGTTGAAATAAAATGCACTTTATTTAATTTTATATTTATATTGTGTATTATAACATAATGAATAAAGAAATCAAGTTCAAAAAATTTTTCAAAGAAATTTTATAAAAATTATTATTTTTTCCATATCTTTTACAAAATATATGTATATATTTTTTTTTATAGACAATTAAAATAAAATGCACTTACTTTAAAATTGCATTTGCAAATTTTTTAATGAAATTCTATACATTTGTAAAAGACATTCTTTAAAATTTATTTAATTTCAATTTATTTCCTATTTTTTAAAGCTATTATAATGATGTTCATGTGAAGTGATTTATCCTCACATTTTATGTAAAGCAAGGATGTTCAACTTTTTTGCAATCATGTACCTAATGTTATTTAATATATTTTTTGTTGAGTGTGTAATAAAATATTTTTACAAAATAAATAGCTTTCTAGTTGATCATAGTCGTGTTTATTATGGTGTGATTTACTATTGTACATTATAGAAGGTATAAAAAGTTGAATTCATAAGATTGCCATAGGTAGAGAGTTCTGCTCTGCGCCAACTGCAGTCCATTTCGATCGCCAATTTACCCATCCTGTAATTTTATTTTGATACAAAAAAAAATCTATTTGATTATTTCAAACAGGAATCTTTATCAACAATTGGCGATCGAAATGGGCTACATGTGGCGTTGAGCAGAACTCTCTACCTATGGCAACATTTCACACGCTTTCACCATTAGCGTGTGGAATGTCATAGAAAAAGGAAGTACGTTAGTTTCTGTCTTGATTTTCATATAGATTAAAATCTTTTAAGTTGGAAACTATATGGAACTGAAAACTACATTAAACATAGTTTTAAAAGAAAGCATCATGAAAATTTAAAAAAATATTTCATTATTTATTATATTATTTTTTCTCAAATTATATATATAGATTATCCCTTCATTACCTTTAGATGACATACCACGCATCAAAATTTTGCAATTGTAAGATCTCGATATGAATTTCAATATGTAACTTAAAAGCAGAGTATCTGAATGCTAGTTGAAATTATTCATTCAAAATTAAAAAACTACTTACCCGAAAAACAATTATTAATAATCAGCACAAATGATACTATTTCAAATAATTCGATTATTCTTTATTGATTTTTTCCGAATTATATAGATACAGAAATATATACTATTCTATAAAGAAACAGAATATTTTACAATTGTAGGTAAAAATTATTGGCGATCGAAATGGGCTGCAGGTGGCGTAGAGCAGAACTCTCTACCTATGGCAACACTTCACATGCTTTCCCCATTAGCGTGTGGAAAGTCATAGAGGAAGGAAGGAAGTTAGTTTCTCTCTTGATTTTCTTATAGATTAAAATCTTTTTTAAGTTGGAAAACTATATGGAACTGAAGACTACATTAAACATAATTCTAAAGAAAAGTATCACGGAAACTTTAAAAATTATTTTTATTAAATAAAAAGGAAAAATATTAAGAAAAGGGAAAATATCGTAGTACATTCCTGTACAACTGAAAAGAGGAGGAGAGGGAAGGGCGAAAGGCGTGAAACCGGTCTCTCTCCAGATGGCGTATTCGAGTGTTGCGATCGCCAATTGTGAAATTGTTCTTCAAATGGGCGCGCTTTGCTTCAGAAAGATTTACCAATGCTCTGGGTTGTTTTTTTCAAGCTCTTTAGCCTTTTCATTAATTTTGCTTCTTATTGCTGCTGGAAAAAAATGACGTCGTACTCTATCAATGATTCTGACAGAACTAAATGAAAATTTAATAAATAAAGCCTGAAAATATCTTCCCTGCTAGAGCAAGCGTCTGCCATCGCTGATCGTTGCGATCATATGCAGCGAAAATGGTACGTCCGTCAAGCTTCAAAACTTTGCTTCTGTCGATGGAAGCTAAAACCTTAAGTTAGTTATAATGATAGCGATTGTGAATATAATCAATACCAATCGTTCTAAAGCAAAGTCAGCATCAAAGGAACTTGGAGTGAAATTAACAAATTTTACATGAAAATGACGAAATAAAATAAGGTCCAATAAATAAATCTAAGTATTCTTTTTTTTTTTTAAATTTTAAAATTTTGGTTCATAATTGCTCTTTTACTTGTCTAACATCCTGTTATGTTATAGTAAGTCAATTATTACTGCTGAGTTTTTGATTGTTTTTGGTTTCATTATTTAAAATAACTGATATTAAATACTGATTAACTGATATTAAAATAACTGATTATTAAAACTGTATACTATGTCAAAAGTATGATGCTTTTTGTTTATTATCGTAGTGAATTTAATAATAAAAATCATAATTACATTTATTGTTGATTTATTTATTAGTAGTTTAGTAATAATTGTAAGACCCAACTTTGAAAGGAATAGTGAAAACATGTTATTTAATTGCCAATTAACCGTTAAAGTTTAAGTGTGGTAATAAATGCATGTTTTAAAATATATTTAGTTTAAACTCATATTGCAGGAGTATGATATATATTAATGAACAATTTCATGGTAAGGCCAACATATTAACCTAAATTTTAAAATTTATATTTTTGAGCAAACAATGTATTATATAGAAAGTAAAAATCTGAAGATTTCGAAATGGTTACTTTTAACTAATTAATGTTAGTTTTGAACTTGAAAGTAATGAATATTTTTACCATAAATTAATAATTAATTATATTTACACCCATCACTATTTACGTCCCATGCCAGTGCTTATCTTTTCATTACACGTGTAACCTATTTCCATATGGAAATAAGTGGCATATATATTATGTTATGTATCACATTTTGCTTTTACTTGTAAAAGCAAAATGTACTTGTAAAAGAAATGAAATTTGAATAAAACCATCCAAATATTCTTTTAAGCTAATTTAGACTAATGAATTTCACCTCTGTAACTTTATAAAATCTGCTAAACTGTTCTGTACTTAAAGTTAAGTTATTTATAATATGAACTTTGAAACTTATTTGCTTAATTTTTTTTCAAAGTTAACAACTCAATTTAAATTTTTTTTTAAAACAACTCGATTTCATTAAAAAAAATTCCATTTCAGATCATTAAACTGTTTAAATATTATAATGTTTGAAGTAAGTAAGCACAGGAAAGACATAGCAGTTTTTTTTATACACAAATATTTTATAACTTTTTAACTGTAACTGAAGTTAAGTGTTCTTATTCATTATTTAAAAAAAAAAAAAAAACAGGATCGAGGAAGATGTGGTGTGCATTTTAAATTTTCTTTATCTACTTAGACAAAATTGAACCACACTTAAATTTTATTTTAAAATTATTGTGACACAGTAATTTTGAATTTTGCATTTGGCTAATCACTTTATGATACTTTTGAATGCCACAATCTCCCAGTATATTTCTTGGAGAAAAAGGCGTTAGGTTGCAAACATCTTATAAACTATAAAATCTAATGCCTACTTTGCAAAACTTATTAAATAATACTAAAGTTTATTGAAATGAGAAAATTAGAATTCTAAAATAGACATGAAACTACACTCAACAAATTATACATCACTCTTATAAGAGTCACTTATACTTAGTCATTGGAACAAAACATAACTTTACTAACTAAAAGCAGAGGTACTCCCCCTTCTTCCAAAGATGGAAATGACACATCCTTTCATTGCCACAGTAGAGGGGAAAATCTGCCCAATTATTGTTTACACTTTAGACTTAAATTATTTGTTTACCTTTAGCTAAAGTCTCCAAAAATATCCATGTGTTCTACAAATTGCCTTTCCATCAATTACAGCTACAAATTTCCACACATATTAAAAATAAAAAATTTTTTTATAGCCAAGGGCTCAAACTTTGAAAAATTGAGAAATGTGCCAAATTTTCAAAATGCAAAGATTGTGCAATAAGATTTTTATTTAAAATTTAAAGGACTAATTTTTTTTTTTTTTTTAATTTTTTTTTGCAATGTCGACTTATATTTTTCTCCTTTGAGATTTAGGTTAATTATATAGTTAAGTTCCTATTTTAAGCTAGTTTAAGACTTATTATTTCTCACCATCTCTATTTGTTTTAGTTTTTAGAATATATTGCTTAAAATGTAAATATATTTTATTTCATGTAGAATTTTCTAATATCTCTAGATTTAAAATGTTTTAGTTTTTATTTACTAATAACCATTATTCAATTTACCTGGTGTTTCGCTTGATTTTTAAAAATTTATTTTGAATGTAGACTTATTTCAATAAGTTAAAAAAAATTAAGTTAAATTGTTATTAGTTTTAGTGTATTGAAATGAATCAGCAAAAATCACATTTCATTTGAACTTTCGTTTTTTTACTGTTACAGATTATAATTTTCAATAATTAAATTACAAGCTAACGAGTTCATAATTAAATTGTAAGTGATTTTAAATAATGCTTTTAATTGCTGCTGTTTAATATTATATAGACATTCTAGTCCTTTGAAACTTCAGAACGTATCAAGTCCAACGTTTGAATATAAATAATTGACCTTGCTGTGCAGATAAAATTTAGAAATTTTCCATAGTGTTCCAGATAAATATTGACGTTTCTTCTACTGAGCTTATAGAATTTGCTTAAAGTGCTAATTTTATTTAGAAACAGTGATTAAAGAAAAAAAAATTTCTATATGTGTTTGATACATGCAGATCTGTTGTTTTAAATGGTCTTTAATATTTTGAAAAAAAAAAAAAAAAACTGAAGTTTTAAATGTCTGAGTATCAGCATAAAGTAATTTTATTTGCTATTGACTTATTGAGGTGTTATAACCCATGTAACAAAATCTGCTTTGCATTCAAATCTGCACTGATTGGTTGCCATTAGTCATTGGAATTTTCCTTTGAGTGAAAATGAAAATGCTTTGTTACTTACGGCAACCATAATAAAGGCATTTGTTGGATTGAATAAGGTAAACCAATTATATACTTTAGTCATATAATTGAGAAGTCTCTATTTATGTGGTCAGGTTTTGGTGTCACATAATAAATATGTAATGCAGAAAGCATATTGCCAAATCAAATCTTAAGCTTAGTTTTTTTTTGATAATTTAAGCTGATTAATTGATTCTGGATATTTCAGTTTCTTTCAAACACTGCAATATGGTTTTAAAAACTGCTTTTAATGAAATTGAAATCTTCATTTAGTTAGTTTCTGATTCTGCAAATTTTTTTTTGAATTATGATTTACTTCATTTTTTTTTTCTTCTTAATATTTTCCAAAATTCTTGATTTATTATGCTCCAGGAAAGCTCTAAAATCATCAAAAGATCTGAGATATACTCATAACTTCCACAACTATATTTTTACAAATTTTAGTATTGAAGTAAATTTAAAAAAAAAAAAAAATTCATTCAAATTCTCATTTAATAGCATTATTTCCAATTTTTTCACCTTCATCTTTAAATATATAATTCTTGTAAATGTAATGTATTCATCTTCTATGTCTTCTCTTTAAACGTATTCATAAAATTAGTAGCAGAATTTATGGAATGTATCTGCAGCACTATCTTCATAAATCAAAATTGGTCTGTAACTTTTTGGCAGTCAGACAGTGTATTATTACTATAAAAATTCAGCTTATATATGTAACTAACATATTTGCAATTATGTAACATGTAATCCGACAAATTATTTGCAATTATGTAACATGTTTTCAATTATTATCATAACAAAATTTGCAATTAAAGTCCTTAAACAGCATATAAAAAATTTTGTTGTTTAAATTTAAATTGAATTTTATATAATAATACTAAAAATAATGGAATAAATTCCTAAATAGTTGAGTGTTTCTTAAACTGTGTAATTTAGTAACAGAGAAAAAAATTCTTTACTCTTTATTTTTTGTGGTGGTCCAGCTTTTTAAATTTTACTACAAACAAGTTTAGAGATGTTTTAAAAAAATAGTCACAGCAGTACACATTTGTTTGTGTAGTGTTTCAATTTTAAAAATTATAAAAAGAGAACTTCGATAAAAAATAATCTGCAACGTTCATTGGTGTGCCGGTGGATTTCTGCTACCAAGCTCATTGGATTAAATATACTATATTCATCTTCTCTTCTATATTTATCATTTCTCCATAAAACAAACTTTTAAAACTGATAAAAATTATTAATTTATGAATGTTTTAATAAAAAGGGTCATCTCAATGTGCCACTGAGCAAGGAGATATGCATTATACTCCCTTCTATTTTGAAAAATTAAAACTTATTCATTGCCTCTTGCCAGGGTCATCTGTCTGAAAAATTCTGAGTTAACGCTGAAAGTCTTATATTTTAGTTTATTTCTGTCTTTTTTTTTAAAAAAATCAAATTTTTTATAGGTTAATAGCACATTCTTTTACACTAAAAATTTATTAGTCTTCAATAATTAAAAAAACCACTAGAATATTATATAGTTTTTGATAAAAAAAAAAGTACAAGCATTTTGTTTGTTATATGTGAATGTCTTAATCAACATCTTATTCTTTCTAAGCATTGAATGTTATATCAGTGCCCATACAAAACTTTTCTATTAGCTCTTCAGTTATATTTCCTTATATTCATAACTTTATCGTTTTTTATTTTTTTACCATTTTCCATTTCTTATTAATTTGTTTTTTTTTTCTTCTTTCATAATTTCTAATTTCATCAATTATATTATTTATAATATTTCTATTTTAGTTTTTAAATTGTTTTATTATATTAATTAAATCATATAATGCCATGATCAAAATATTAAAATTTAACATTCTAATTTTTTCATGTATGTATTCATGTGTTAATATTTCTTGATAATGTCTTAAGTTTACGGAACACATTTTGTTGTATAACTACTGAAAATTTTAATGGTTTGAAATAAGGATAATCATGAAAAAGAAGGGAGAACTTTTCCTAAAGAATATACATAGGGGACGAAAGCTAGCTTTGATAGACATAATGCGAACTGGTCCCCCAAGACGTAGTGCAGTTCCTGCGTAAGAAAAAGCACCATTTGGGGGCACAAAAGCAGATGTTTTTAAAACTGGTTTTCTCCCTCTTTTCCTCCAAGTCACTACTGGGGTAAGGGAAGACAGAAGTTTTTTTTATATGTTATAGGTTTGTTCTACATTTTTGCACTTTTTATAAACATGACTGTACTATTAAGTAAGATATTTCTTCCATAATTCATTTATATCATCCATGTTGATGAAATCGGCTAACATATTTTGAGATAAAAAGAAAGAATAAAATAGAGATTAGCAGGTGACAGCATAAGCAAGCATGCATGTAGAGTCGCCCAACAACCAATTCACAAATGGCGTACCTCCTGATTCTCACTTTGCTTCTCACTCTCAGATGCTGGATTTTAGCACTGTTATATCTGAGTATGTTTCTCACCCTATAAGTTCTTCTTCTGGTGTAGCATGCTAAGTGAGGTAAAAGAAAATAATACATTTCTATGTTCTTTACTTTAACCTTACTTAGCATTTTATTTTTTTTAAACATATTATGTAACCACACAATTATGGTTTTTAAACCTTTTTTTCTGTTTTGATTAAATTAATGTAAAATAAAAATTTATTTATTTTGTGAGTTTATTATATTTTTATTATTATATTTTACAATTTAGTTGAATTATTTTCCTTCAACAGGTCATCATGGATACCAGCAAAACACGGAGTATTAAATCACTTTTGCTACAAGCTTGGAGAGAAAGATGGTCTGATGTGTCATGGGGCATTCGAATCAAAAGTGTTCTTCCACGTGGAGTAAGTGGTGACGTTTATGATTTAGCTGACTGTATTCTTCAACAAGCATTAGTTGGACCAGGACCAAACAATTTATTCATGTCATATCTCATGCATTCTCTTAGCTCTAGAGTTGTTTCATATGGTGCAGTCTTATCTAGTATAGGTAGATACCAAAGTTTTTACAAGCCATATTGCATTTTGAGTTTACTCGATTTGCTAAGAACATTTCAATCAAGAATAGGCTGTCATGGCAATGAAGAAGAATGCATTGCTTTATGTAAAGCTGTAGTTAGTGTTACACATTGGTTGTATTCATGTGTTTATCATTCCATAACTAAATTAACTGAATTGAAACAAAGTCCAGAACACATTTCAATTATGGAAAAATCTTATGAAGCTCTTTTTTATTTTAGTAATTCCACTTTTATTAAATCTTTGCTTTATGTTGGAAAGTTTGAAGATCAAGCCATGTATACCCAAATGCTTCAAAAACATAAAGAACTTGAAGAAAAGTTAGCAATAGTTCCAAGTGCAACAAATGTTTCAAAAGAAATAATTGAAGGTGCATTGAGTCTAGTTAGCTCAGTTGATAATTTACCAGTTGTTCCATCAGAAAATGTTTCAAAAAACAAACTTCAAACCTTAGCTAGCACTTTAAACATAATGGTTGGAATCGATGCTATTTTAAATCCTGCAAGTGATGCATCAGCATTTGTGAGTCAATTGCTTTTAGTGAAAAAGCTGCAAAATTTTAAACTATCGCAAGTTTATTGCGAACTTATCCGTGCTTGTTTGATTGGTATAGCCAGTAGCACAGGTTCATTTGAAGATGATTTAAAATGGTTTGCATTTACATTTTTGAAACTACCAAACATTATTTCTAACATCCAGTCCCTTCAAACTGAAAGTGAAGAAGACTCCTTTGAGAAAAGTCTAGATATGTTACTACATTATTCACCTTTGTTGGATCTCACTGATTTAAAGAGCAATTGTGATACTTTACAATATGTAGCACAGGAGTTTTGCAAAGCAAAAATAATGACAGAAAGTCAGGGAATGAGTTTCCTTGGTCGAAGACAAAATGATTCTTTTAAAGCTGCAAATCTCAAAGGTCAGAATATTGGAGGAGTAAAACCTCCAACACCTAAACCGAGTCCTCAGTGGGGCCAGGCAAATATACCACTCACTTTACGAGCAGAACATACTCTTAACACGATTTTGAAGTCACTAGATTCTGATTATTCAAAAATTCAAGAAGCTCTCCTTGGTGTTCTCTGTCATATATTGCCTTTAAGAAATTTTAAATTAATTCTTGCTGCGGCTGCTGCTACTGGGAAATTGCATACTTTTATTACTAAATTAATTGGATATAATGATTATAATAAATATGTTGCTTCTGAAAATGCTAAAGCTGCCCAGACCCGTGCTTTAACTTTTGATGTCACCTTTCTCTTATTATTTTATATTTCTCAGTATTATGGTACTGAAATAGTCCTTGGGCATTCTACGAAAAAAGATTCTTTTTTCGTTCAGTGGATATCAGAGAACCTAGCTGAAGGTGGGAAATTTAAATGTCCGGATCTTGTTTTGTCTCGATGTGACCAACCTACAGTTGACATGTTGTTAGCTCAGTTCTTAAACACAGAGCATGATATGAGCACTCATCAAGTAAAATGGCATGAAGTTTGCCTTAATGCTCCAGCTGCTGCTAGAGAGATACTTATTGCTTGGGAGCATGGAGCATTATCCACAGAAAAAGTTAAAATGGTTTTAGATCACATTAAAAGTCAAATATGCTGTCTTCCTGTTTGTATTTCGGCTTGGCTTTGCAACTACATCAATGTTCTTCATCATGAGGAACGTCTGAAGCCCATGAATATGCTTCAGCATTTTATTGCTCCTCCAGCGGTGGAGTCTGTTACTTCACCTTCTGAGTCCCCCTCTGCTAGTGGTAGGCAAACACCTCAACTGCCAGGCAATGAGCAAAGTAATGCATTTTATTCTGGACGTTGTAGCCTGATGATTGGTATTATAAAAATAATGATGTGGGATCTGCACCCTCCCTTACAGCTAAAATCTAAAATTGCACCTCTCATTCCTCACGGTTTGACGGTTAAAGAACCCTTAGGCAAAATTTTAGATGAAGTTTTTAATGATGTGCACTATCGTGGATGGCTTGACATAAAATCTATTCATTATTTTGACACATTACTTTGTGTTGGTGGAGCACGTTGGCTATGTGATGCTCTTGTTCGTCGTGTACTGGGCTATCAATTTCTTCAAGACATCAATAGAGCTGTTGACATGATAATTGGTATATTTTATTTAGATATTGAACAATGCGCTCTTGCTTTGTTATTGCATGTTCTTCCCTTTTATCTTTATAGTGAAGCTCATCAAGAACAGTTAGCAGAGCCCTACGGTAGTGCCCTGTCACGTTTAACTGTCATTACAACATATGCAGCATTGCAGTCACGCCAGTGCTCTTCAGGAAATCGTGTGAAAACTGGTTGTAAAAGAAGCCATCGTGAAGTTGACATTGATGACACACGAGATCATACAGAGCACAGTAGGCCCACAAAAATACATCGAAGTAATGCTGAATTGCTAGAGGATACACCATTTGAGCTACAAAATCTTAGTGATGAGCATATGCGCAATGCAGTAGCTAATCCTATCAATAAAGCAATCGCTGATTTGATGCGTACCCTACTAGTGATTGCTTCAGATGCAACAATCAGTGCTAGGTCTTATTTTCCTATTCGATTTTTAGAACAAGTTGTTCTATGTGCTAAAGATCAAGCTTCTTCAATTTTACAGTTTATGCCTTTAGGGCTTGTTGGATTGCTTTTGAAAAAATACCCTGAAGAATTTAGCCATGAGTTAATTTTGGCAGTCAGTAGCATGCAGAGCCCAAGAGCTCGTAAAGTAGCAGCATTGAGTTTGTGTCAACTTACCATTGCTCAAAATAGACTCACCACTAAAAATCAGTGTTGGTTAGGTTTTTAATTTGTTTGCTAAAAAACCAACTGTTCTATTTTGATAAAGGTTATAGTACACTTTTTATTTTTGACATTTTTTAAAGATATATTACTGTAACGGTAACTTAAGTTGTGTGAACTTATTAGGTGTAATATAAAATGGACACTTGATTTTGTAAAGTAGCATTGTTGATGCTTCTTAAAAACAGTGAATGTTTTTTCTTCCTTAAATTATCTTAAGATAATTTTAGAAAATTTAAAGATAGTTTTTGAGTATTTTATAATTAATAAATGCAAAATTATGTTTAAGTTTTTTTGAAAATTAATAAAGATCTCTTTTTTTTCAGTAGTAGTTTAATATTGTGCAATCAAATTTATTATACCGTATTAAGTGTTATAAAAATTCAAAGAGTTAGAAGTATTAAAATTTTAAAAAGTTCGTAAATAATAAGAATTTTTGCAAAATTGTCTTTTTTTATTTACATTTTGTTTTATTGGACACAAAGTAGTTCATAGTTTTTATTAAAGATACTTTTTAAGTTTTTATAAAGTTGAAAATTCAAGATTGTGAAGAGATTCTAAAATATTTCTATAAATATACATCAGGGTTGGGTTTTTGACGTCAAAAAGTGGTTTTTGACATGACAAGGGTATAATACTGGTTTAAACCGTCAAAAACCAGTCGAAAACGTCAAAAACTAAAGTTTGCCAAGAAAATATATAAACTTCAAAACTACCAAACAGTTGCCATGCATTATATTGAAATTTAGTTATATTATAGGTAATCAGCAGGTTTTAAAATATTTTTTTATTAAAATTAAGGTAAAATAACAGATTTAAAATCTCAGAAATTTATATTCAAATGCATGTGCAGAAAAATTTTGCACAAAAATTGTTTAAATATTTATATTTTGAAAAAAAAAATTTTTTTTTTTTTAATATTTAAGAAAATTAAAAGTTTATTACCATGCATTTTTGACATATGAGGAACATATAACTAATATTTATATTTATAAGGAGCTTACAAGTTATGTTGAATAAATAAAAACTTGATACAAGTGTATAAAATTTTTTTTTAATGTTAGACCGAATATCTTTATTATCCAGTATGTTAATTTGAATTTAAAAGTAGTTATATTTATGAATAATGATAAATATAATTCATATTGTTTATTATATTTATTTATAATTATTACACTTATCATTTTAAAACAATTTTTATCTCTTAATTTTTTTTTCTCCACTTGTATTAAGAATACAAATAATGCATATCTTGAAAGCAAGAAGTAATTATTCAACAGCTGAATATTTAGATATTCAACAAAACTATATAGTATTCAGCAAAATGAAATTCACAAGTATTTGGATAAACTAAATTTTCAGCATAGTAAATGAATAGGCTGAATATACTGTAAATCGACACTAACTACTCTGTGTATTTAACAGAAAGCACTTAAATTTGTATTGTCTTATGTTAAAAAGATTATTAAGAAGATTTAAAAGAATATTAAAAAGATTTTTCTTTAAAAGATGTCTAATGTACAAAACTGCTAATGTTTATCTTTAAAAATGTCTAATTTTTAGTATAATCTATACTATACACTAAATTTGGTTATAAATAAATTTCTTAATAATATCACTGCAGATTTTCAATAACACATGAAAATGAATACATAATATTACAAAAGATGTGAGCTTTCAAAAGTACAAGATTTTGGTTACTATTCAAAATATAAGTGTTTCTTCAAAATTTAAAATTTATTTTTTCTAGAACATATTTAGAAACACTATCCTTTATAAAAAATATATAAATTTTATGTATTAATTAAATTTCACATATAAATATAGATTTTTGACAGTGAGGTTTTTGACGTGACGGTTTAAACCGTCAAAAACTGTCACATGTCAAAACCTGCCAACCCTGATATACATGTTATGCTTGCTAGAGCAATTGCAAATACTTAAAAACGTCTTGTATAAAATTACTGAACAAATATGTTGGGAAAGAATGCCAAAAACTGAAAGTGGCCAACAACACCACATAATGTATTTTAAAGATTTATTTATTATTATATTGATCATTAAGTTACATATATGAATATGAACTGGATTTATAACTTATTATTTCATATTGTGCACAGTAGTTCTTTTCTAAATCTCTTATTATTTTGATAAGTCTCTGTAATGAATAAGCAAATGGTAGGATTGAATCTTTATATTATTGTATTTAATGAACTGACTCTTAATACCAACAATGATTTATTTTTATCATTTTATTGTAAATTTGTATAACTGAAAGATATACATTCTGTTGTTAACCAAAAGTTTTTCTACGTGTTCGTTAATGTATTCGCTTTTTAAAACTGATTAAGGAATTTCATTGTTTTATTTATTTATAATTTTCCTTGACATGCTTTAAATAAATTTGAAATAAATCATAGATCTTTCTTTGTATTACAAAAAGTTATCACAGCTCCTTATTCCTAGATGAATCCTCATTTAAATCTCGATTTTATCATCCTCATTCATTTTCATCGCAAATCTAAATTATTTTTGAATGGTTATTTTGGTATTGATCTTATTGCTACACATTATTATGTGGTTCTGAAAGTCCCAATTTTTTAATGCATTATTATTATACCATTCGAATCATGCAATAAATGATCTTTTTAAAGTTCATCAATCGCTTTTCGACAATTTTTCACTTGGGGATTAAAATAATTACTTTTTAGTGCGCATTAATTGTGTCAATTATATTGCAAAAACAAATGTCTTTTTTTAATTTTTTTATGGTTTTTCAGCAGTTATTGCTATGTTTTTCCATATGGTTTTGAAAATCATGATATTTAAATACAATATTAATGCAACTCACAAAATTCGAAAAGTGGAAAAATGCATTCATTTTTAACTGTTTATTATTTGTAGTTTGTTTACAAATTCCTTTTAGCTTTATTTAAAAATATTAAGACTTATAATTTACTTAACATACATGTCTAACATTAAGTACTGAGTTTTGATCTTAATTTGCATTACAATGGTTTTGTTTGAATTTTTATTATTTTAAACCCTATATACTTTCTTTAATTAACATATTTGATTTCTATTTATTTTACTAAACAGAATATTTATTTTTAAATTTATTTCTGTGAACTTTAAAGCTTTTTACTTTTCTCCATTTGTTTTCATTTATTTTGATTAATCTATATTTTTAAGGGAATATATTAAGGAAAAAAAAACTAATTGTTTTGCATTATTTAATTTTAATTGAGGTTTAATGTTTAGGATCAATTTTTTTGAAATGTATTACTAAGTTAATTGATAAAAATAATTAATGGTCTAGAACACTGATATTCATATTAAAAACTACTATAATTGCCTTTGTCTGTCTAAATACTTGGTCTGTCTAAATACTCAAAATGCTGTGTAACCCCTAGATTAGAAAATATTTTCATAAAAATATGAGAATATTTTGGAATGATATTCTGAATTTTCTGCATTTTATTGATAAACAAATTCACTAACTATTATATAATAACTATATATTTTTCTTACAACATAGAAGTCTCATAAGTAATGAAAGACATTCTGAAAATTGTGAGAAATTACTTTATTTTATATGTCCAAGATTTTTGGATTTATTAAAAGTGCATTAAGGTTATTTCCCAAAGTGAGCTACACTACAGCATTAATACAGTTTTTAATTCCAAGAACAAGTCTTATATGGCTATCCTTATATTCTTTTCAAGAATGTACAATTTATCAAATAATAAATCCGTAGGTAGTATATCTATTTAGTAATAAGTAAAATATTGTTATTTTGGAAAAATTATATCAAACTTTATTGTTTATGTTTTCTCAAAACAGCAATGTTTGCTGACAGCTGATTGGTTTTTCTTAGTTATTCCAGTTATCACCAATGAAGAAATGATTATTATAAAATTTAAATTATCAAAGATTATTTGCAATGGTTTAAGAAGTTTTGTGATGTAAAAAAAAAAAAAATATTTATCCATAGTAAAAATAAAATAGAAAAGGTATTTGTAAAATTGATTATAAAACTATTATAAAAACTATAATTGTAGACTTTTTCAATATAGTATGATATTCACAAATACCGATATCGATACAAATTAACCTAGAATCTCAAAGTTAAAGGAAAAATTTTGAGAGGAGAACAATAACAAAAAAAAGTTATTTTTAAAATTTAATTATTCAAAATTTAAATTTTTTAAAAGATAGTATTTTTCTCTTCCCTATAAGGTAGAAAAAAATAAAATATAAGAAAGACACAAAGCAAGACTTAGAAACTCATTCTATGCCATTTCTTGTCAAGCAGAGTTTTTCTATATTTTAATATAAGGGGATAAAATGGATTTTTTTAAATTAAATTCTAAGCTCTCAAAATTTTATGTCAAGCAAAGAGTTAATAAAAAACAATTTAAAATTTACTACCAAAAAATTGCATATGTTATTATTTTGTTTAATATTTAGTTGAAAAGACTGAACTTCATCAATCATTAGAAATATATTGATTGGTTTTATATTTTGCTTCTCTTGAAAAAGCTTTTAGTTTAAAATGATTGATTAGCTTCAGATTGATTGACTCTGCATTTGCTGATATTTTAGAAAAGCACTTCTGATGGCAAGTTAATAGTTGATGACAAAATTATAATTTTCAACGACAATTATATAAGTTGTGTAACAGTTAAATGACTTTTAAAAAAAAAATGATGTTCTTTGTACTCCAAGTTAAATAACAAAGCATTGTTCATATCTTTTATAGAAGCCTACAAATTGAAATAAATACTCCAGTTTTTATATGTTGATTAATTCTCGTAACTACTAGAAATTTTTTACCATTTTTTGAAATCTTTAGCTCTGTTCATACCGAACAACAATAATCCAAACAGAAATAGACAGAGAAAATATTTCAGCAATTCTCTGTAAAAAATAAACTGCTTTTGATATTTCAATTATTTTAATTTCTACGGAAGAACATAGGTAAAACTATTTAAGGGAATGCAAATAAATATGTAGAGTGCATGGTGTTTATTTTTATTTGAGTGTCAGTAAGTTATTCATTTTTATCTTATGTATAAGATTTTTCAAGGTTATTTCTCTTTGATAAAATAAAGATTTTATGTTGATTGTCCCCATAAAAATTTAAACATTATTAAAGTATGACCAAATTATGACATTTGATTAAAGTATAAACCAAATTACAGATTTTAACAAAGATTTAATAGATTGCCATTCAGTATGCCTATATTTCATTTATAATAAGAATTTATTTATTTTTTTAGTTTGCTCAATTGTCTTCACATCTTTATCAACTTGGTATTATTAAAAAAATACTAATCATATAAATGCTTTTGATTAGTTTCAGGATTGGCAAAATTCATGATTTTTTTAAAAATGAATTATGAGTTAATAGTATTATTATAAAATGTATTAACAGTATTATTTAAAAACAACAATACCAATAAAATAGTTGATATTTCTAACTGAAATGTTTCAAAAATTATTTTAACTATTACAAACTAATCGCTGAATAAATAAAATCATGGTTATTTTTGTTCAAGCAAAAAGATTTTAAAGTCAGGAAGACAATTTAACAGATATCTAATAAAGAATAAAATAATTTATATCAGAATACATTAAAGAGAAAAAAATATTGTAAGTTTCTCTATATTTAATTGCAACTATCAAAGTGTATATTGTTTTGTTTTCATTTTTGACAAGGAATTGAAAAGTATTTATCAAGTGCAATCTTTACTATCTTACGACAAAGAATTGTTTGTACTTTATTACAAAAAAATATTTAAAAAAAAATAAAAATTTTTTTTTTTCAATTAGGTGAGATTATCCAATTAATTAAAATTGTTTACTTTAGCAAATAATATTTATAAGTCCGGGCAATGAAATAACTTTTGAAATATTAAGAAGTATGATCAAAAGCATTTTTTATTTACAAAAAACTGACTTTTCTTTTAGATTAGTTATTTGCAGTATTTCTTATAATTAACATAGATAGTGCTGGTTGAGTGACAACAACTACAATTTACAACTTACATACTCACAGCAATTATAAAAATAGCATTTTATTCGCTGAAAAGAGTTATTTCATCTAAAAAAATCTTTGAAGAACAGCCTCAGGTAAATGGAAATAATAAAAAAAAAAAATATTTAACGAATGTGAGAAAGTAGATAGGATGAAACAATAACATTTATTTATAAGCAATTTTTTGATGAAAATGTATTTACAGATTATTAGGAGACAAAAAATAAATAATGTTCTTCGATCAGGATGACATAATGGTCTTCCAGATTCTTTATTATAAGAAGTTTCCTAAAATGAATAATAAAAAAAAAATTATATCATATGACAATGATATAGATAATTAAATTATCTTCAAACAATGCTGACTTAAAGCTGAATTATTTAAAGCAAAATAACAATTTTAATCTGAATGGTAGGTGGTTTATGGTCTACGGCGAGTTCTAAATATATCAGAATGATTGAAAACAATTAACCTAGTATACAGTGCCCCCTCCCTCCCAAAAAAGAAATATTCAATAACTTTTGATCTAATATGATCAGATATTTATGTGCTAGGACTCAATGGTTCGAGGGGATTACCTCAAATAAGTTAAATAGTGCAAATGATATTTTCAGTAACTAAATCAGGCAACAAAAAAAATTCTTTGATTAAACATTGTTTCTCTTTTTTTCGAGGCATTTGGATTTCTGACCCTCAAAGTATAGGGCTGTTACACTATCTTGGAAATATGGTAGCAATTGTTTGGTAATATAGAGCGGTTCTAAGTTTGGACCCCATATCGTTATTTTACTTTTTGTGTATTTCACCATATCTCAAGAATTTTTTAAGCGAACCGAAAAACTTTTGCACACAATTATAAAATTTGTTTATCTAAAAATCATTTCACACAAAAAATAATTTTCAATTATTATTTATTTTTTATTATTTTATTTAATAATATTCGAAAAAATTAGAAATGTAAGGTATATAAATTTTAAATGAATGCAATTTTATTAAGCAAAATACAAATTTTCAACAAAATCGGTTCCTGATAAATCAAACTTTAAAAAAGCTGTTTGTAGAAATCGAATTTTAAACAAACAACTTAATTTTTGATTTTGATTTTAAAATTTGTTTTCTCAGAAACTATTCTATCAAATTTCCTATTTTGCTTTATAAAATTACATTCTTTACAATTTTCTAAAAATTTTAATAATTTTTTTGACAATTATTAAATGCGACAAAAAATAATTATTTAAAAATTTTAAAAAATGAAATTATCTTTGTGTAAACGAATTTTATAATTATGTGTCAAAATTTTTAGATTTGTTTAAAAAATTCTTGAAATATGACGAAATACGCAAAAAGTAAAACTAACATTAAAGGGATCAAAACTTAACCAAAACTAGACCAAACGATTGCGGCCACGTATTTTGAGGCTCAGAAATCTAAATCCGTCGTAAAAAAGTATGTTTATTCAGAAAAGAGAGAGAGAGTACGTTTTTGAGTTTGAATTTGTATTTTAAAATATCGTCTTAACTTTCCTTTTTTTAGCGTTTTTATTATGATAGCAATTTTTAATGAGCGTTTCTAACGAACGTTATTCTGTTGTGGTCATTTTTTTTTCTAAAAATGCGGCAATGTGAAAAAGTTAAATTATGATTTTTAAAAGTTAAATTGAGTTAGTTTTTGAGTTTAGTTTTATCTAGTTTTTTCTTTTTCAAAAAAAAAAAACTATAAATAGACGATTTTATTAAGTACACAATAGAATTCAACAATATTTTTATTTAACGATTTTCAATTAGCAATTTAATTTAGCATTTTAATTCTGTGAGTTTTATGAATTGTATAAAGCTTGCAGTTGCAAGATTTAAAATATGCTTTTCATTCAATAATGTTAATGTATTCATTTATTCCAAATCCAGGACCCCAGTAGGAAAATGGGAACCTTTCAAACGAAAAAGTCTATTAGGAGAAACTTTAATCTCCCTCCAGGATTCGAACTAATTCCATTTCGATCGTTGATTTAGGAAATGTAATAAATTACATTTCCCATCAATAATTCGATATGTATTCCCATTAACTCAAATAAAAGAACTGAGATTGGACTAGCGTATTACCAATTAATAAGTTAAGGAAATAAAAGGTGATAATCTGTTTTGGATTTCGGTATCGAAAAATCAATAATAATGAGAAATGATAATGAAAGTTCAATAATTAAAGCGTTTTATACGAGATAAAATTTCTTTTGGGAGAGGTGGTGGGGCTTCTAAAAATGATATCATTTACTTATGCGTAAACATAGCTTTGTTTAGTCTTTATTCAAGGGCAAAATTCTAGTTTATAGAATGAAATAATTTTTTTTTACATGCATTTTAAGTCAACTAAAAAGGAAAAAATAAATTTAGTTTTGTCAGATGCCTGGAAAAAAGGGTGGACACAATACTTAATGAATGTCAAAGTAATTTTCCGTTTTGATGAAGTTGAATCTATAGAAGTATTCAAGTATTCCGCCACCTTGAAAAACATAGTTTTTAGATTTTTTTATTTTTATTTCCTTTCTTTCAGTTATGCAGGTAAGTGATCGAAATTTTAATTGCTAACTTCTTCTTTCACAGAAAAAAAATAAATAAATAAAAAAAATTTTTTTTATTTTATTTCAGTACACCAAAATGAGTTTTTTTTTCCTCTCTAACTTTCACTTAAAATTTAAGACTAAATCACTTAAATTTAAAAGTTGCAATTGATGAAAATAAGGAATCTTTATAAATAACAAAATTTCTACTAAAACACAATGTTACCATAGTTGTTAGTATAATTTAATTTGCATAATTTATACCTAACAAGTGGGATTTCGAATCATAGGAGTCCAAGTTTTTCTTTTTCCTTCTGTTTTTTCTTTACTAAATCGATATTTCTGTCTCTCCATGTACTTTTTCTTAGCTTGATTGGGCGACTTCCAACATACCTACCTAAAAGGTAACAAGATAAATGGAAACATTTTTAGATAAAATATACTATCGTAGTAGTTTAAATAGAATTTTTATATTAAAAATACACAGAACTCCGTGCATGTAAATGATTTAAAAGTCAGTTTAATTTACAGAAATTCACTTAAAATTCCAGACATATAATTGCTTTCGTTATTTTTAATCAATTTCACATTTAGAAGCTCTTTTTCTTAAAAATTCAAGTGCATACAGAGACGAACTCAATGCGGAATTAATAAAAATATGATAAAAGCTCAATCAAATCAAATTTAAACGGCGCAAGAAACTGTGTCTGACGATGCAAAAATAATAAGATTCGGCATAAAAAACATAAAAAAAGTAGAAAGATAATTAGCATTAAAGCACCTCGCTGAGAAAGAGCTTTTATCTAATTATACTTTACAAGGATTTTATGACGCATGTCAAGGTAAAGTTAAAAAAAAATATTTTTTTTTTTGTTTTCAAATTTCTTTTGAGTGTTTCCAAAACATTTTGTTTTATTTTTTTCACGAATCAAAATCCATAACAGATTTTATTCTCTTTGACAGGAAAAAAAAATCGATCATAGATATTCAAATTTCATTTTCTTTCTTTTCTAAATAAATAAATAAAAAAATAATAACTTCAGACGATTTTAATCTTTGCTAATGACTTATTAGAAGCGGATAATACAAAATAATTGTTCTAGTATGAGTATCAATAACAGATCTTTTTATTATTGCTATGTATACAAAAGTAAATTAAAAAAAAAATATATATTTTAATCATCTTAAACAGTAATTATTTCTTCTTTTTAACGTACAAACCATTCTTAATGTATTTAAAAAGATAAACAAGCTATTCGGGAAAGCATGCGTCGTATTTTTGTCCCTGAGTAGTTTTTCTCAAAATATTCAATTGTTTCCTACACAATTCGAAAAGCACACACATTTTATTTATTTTAAAGGGCATTTTGTTTGTGTTTTGAGTTTATTTTCTTTCAATAATCTTGGGGGGAAAATTGGAACACAAATGTTGAATTGATGAGCAAAAAATAAATAATAATCGAATTTTATAATTAAATAAGGCCTCAAATGTCATGTCTCAAAAAACATATATTTTTTAGAAAATAAAATAAGTATTTCTTTTCTTAACTCCACACAATAATGTTTCTTAATGACTTTCTCTAATGTGTATTTTTTGAAACCTTGTCTAAAAAAAGCACAACTAGGGGCTGTAAAGCGAGGAAAAAACAAAATCGCTTTAGAAAACAAACGTATACTATTCAGGAAGGTTTGAGTAGCAATATCAAAACATGTTTGATTACTGGGAAATTTGATAATCGTTTATCAAATTGATTCTGATATGCACAATTAGCTTTCTTTTCATGTTGAAAGTTTTTTAAATTTTTTTTATCCTATCTTAAATGTAACTACGTATCAGAGGCGGATCCAGAAATTTTTCCTGGTGAGGGTCATAGACTCATATCCCTCCCTCCCCCCACAATTAATATTTTCATAAATTTTTTTTTAAAATATTAGAAAGAAAAAAAAACGGGTTTTTAATGCTAGTCTTTTCATTTATTTTTTTTCATAATGAACAATAGAACAATACATTAATAATTCAAGTATTCAAAACCTTTAAATAATAAATGTAATGCGTTTTTTTTAGAAACTTTGGCAAATACAATCTTTGGTTAAACCTATTGAAGCGCACTTCAACATTATTAATGTTTATAATGAAATTATGACGAATTTTGTTTCAATCTTTTGGATCATGATTCTTGAAACAGTGGAGAACATAATTAGATGGGGAAAAAAAATCTCTTTTTTCGACCTACCTAGGTGTATATGCCCTCTTAAATAATTTTTAAAATATTTTATTTCCTTTGTAAACTATAAAAAAATTATTATTAATTATTATTTTTTTTCTATTTTTTTTGGCCCGCTTGATCCGCCACTGCTACGTATCATCGATGAATTTTTTTACTATAAAAATGTGATAGTAGAGGGTGCTAAAATTCAGAAAATCTGTTTCAAAAGTTGGGACCACTAATGGCTTTGAACTTAAATAATTTTTATAATAATAAACATAATTAATTTTTACAATTTCCACCATATCCTAAGAACGAAAGAGCGAATCAAAAACTTTTTGCACCCGCACATATAATCCATTATAATTAGGTTTAAGGCTGCATTGCATCGTGACCAACGACATGATTGTATTGTGCCTTTACTTTGCTTCCCATTCAAGCTGGAACACATCGACCTGAAGCAGGGTGGGTTTCAAGCACCCGATAAGGTTCGAACCCCAGTTCTTCACAATGAGCTCAGTGCCTTAAACCACTGAGCCATCGCTGCTCCAAATAAAGCCCATAACACAAAGAAAATCTCAAAAAAAAAGGTAACTTATAATTTTAAAAATCCTAAAAACAAAAATTTATTTTGAGCAAATTTTGGATTTTATCATTTAAAATTAAGTAGTTTAAGAAGTTGTTAATCAATGTATACCTTAAAATAAAAAATTTTCATGATCGGTAAGCTAAATAAGAAAAAATAATCCTTAAATTTTATAAACAATAATTAGATATTACTAGTTCTTCGTACAGGATGAACAAGAAGAAAATAATCCATAAATCAGCTCTGAACATTACTAAAATATCACGCACAAACGCCAACATAGACATACGCCAACACAATTAATAAAGCAAAAATAATTCCATTTTTTTAACATAAAATTTTGTCCTTCGTAGAGTGACTTTGCGTTATTAGATTAAGCAAAACACGTTTTTAATACTTCATCCAGGCCGGGAGAGCTTGGTTGGCAGGGTGCTGGACTCAAGTATATGTGAACGGGAGTTCGAATCCAAGCAGCCGAAGACTCATCGCGTAGTAAATGGTGACTGGTGCACGTTAAATCTGTCGAATCACAAAGTCCTCCATTTTCCCATAACAAATCAATACATCTGGGGGTACTGAATTTCAGATTGTTCTCTGGTTCAGGTCAGAATTACGATTTGTGGATAAATGAATGGATCCGTATTAACGTGTGTGACGTTAATACGGACTTGGTGGGTTTATTTGGCAGAAGTCGAATTCTAGGCCGTAGATGGCGCTACTGGAAAACAAGAGCAATCGCACCACCCCTGTCTTAATATCCGACGACAACAACAATACTTCATCCATCGAAAAAAAGATTAACTGTATTTATTTGGAATAACACTGTTGCGTGAGATCAATTTTCGACACAATTAAGTAATTTTCGATGGTACGTAACACGTATCCCTTTCGGGCGATCGTATAAAACCTTTCTCTACAGTATCTATATTAGAACTGTTTAGTATTGATACAGTTTTAACAAGCATCGATAACAAGTACACAAAAACTAGAAATTCTGTCGCTTCACTTAGAATCTAAGTCTATCTTCTAGGGCAGTGTTTCCCAAACTTCAGTGTACCCTTTCTAAATTTTTCGTAACGCTGTGTACCACTAATAAAAAAAAAATTTATTTTTTACTGTAAAAAAATTGCACAAAAGTTAAAAATCACAACTGGCTGTTGACACCACTAATTATCAACTGTTAACTTTGCAAAAAATAGCCAATAGAAAATTACGTAATCGTAAATTTTCCTGGCTAGCTTTGTTTTTAAATAAAATTTTTTGAAATTTTCGTTTGTTGCAACATATTTCGCATAAGAACGCGTACCACACTTTGGGAAACACTGATCGAAGGTCACACTTGCTAATGTCCTGCCTGACTGAAATTTTTAATAGAAAATTGCTGTTCTGGAAAGGGTTAAAACTGCATTATTTGTTACAATACCGAAACTAACTAAGCACCATTTGCTTTAATTAAAGTATGATTATTTTTCATTCTGTTTTCTCCAATAATTTTCCTCTTTAGTATATAGCTATTTTTTCAATCAGTACATATTGAGCCTTGAGGGCTCAGGGGATAGAGTGTTCGCTTTCTAATGAGGTGAACTGAGTTCGAATCCCAGCGATGGCAGGTCGATACAAATTCCGCACATGCTCGTACCGACCACAGTGCTGACGTAAAATATCCTCAGAGGTAGACGGATCATGGGTTAGAGTTCCCATGCCATCAGGCTAATCTTGGGAAGTTTTCGAGGTTTTCCTATCCATGTAATGCAAATGAGGGTTAGTTCCATCAAAAAGTCCTCCATGAAGGCACATTTCTCCGAATACTTGATCCAGGAGTTTCCTTGTTTCTTGGATTGGGTTCAAAATTACAAGGCTACAGAGTTGAACATCAGTACTCGTAAACCTTAAATTGGGTCGGCTGTTCAACGACAGTTATAAAATTAGTACATATTAACAGAAATAATATATATGTATCAGTGAGGGAACGAATATGTGGTATTCGGCCATTTTGTCGAATATTCGGCAACGTATTTTTTGGAAAAGTATATCCCAACAAAGGTTTTTGTTGAAAATTTGAATAGATTTGATAAAGAATAATCTAAAATCGTATTTCACTATACATTATTAGAAATTGCAGACATCACATATCTGTTAAGTTCTAAAACTTGTTAATTTATGTTTTGAAAGACAAATGGAAAAGCGAAATTTGAAGAATTGAAACTAGATTACTTTATGCTGAGGTCATGAGTTTTGTATTGAATTTTTTTTGAAAAATTTTATTCAGGCAATTTCGCCGTTTTTTCACCATTTTAAGTACTAAAAATGGAAAACTTTTAATTTATTTATTTATTTCAGCCATTTTTTTGTTTTATTATATTTTTAATAGCATCCATACACGTTTAAGTAGCACTTATTACTAAATCATTGCAGTCACGTTTCTTTTAGACAAATTAGTATTATTTATTCATTAATTTTGCTTTTCATTACATAACAAATTTATTTTCATTTCAAAAACCGTTGATTTTAATTATTCAGTTTTATAGAGTCGCCTTTTTAAAGCGTAATTATAAACAAAAGAAACATGCGTCTTCACATAAATTTAGGAATACTAATTTGGTT